GAGGCTGGACTGTCCTTTTCTCTTCTTTTAAAGACTGGGGCCCCAGGAGATTTCATTTAGAGAAAGAGCTCCATAGCTAAAAAGTTTTCAAATCTGCTTTGAATGATAACTGTTTGAATTTCCTTCCTGTCTCAGTTTTCTCACCTTTTAAAAACAGAACGCCAAAGCCAGGCCACGCCATGTATTGGCTTGGAACAGACGAGGCTGAGTGGTTTGGCTTCCTGGGTACCTTTTAATTGCCATTTTCTAGTCCCTTGGGTATTCTCTTCAGTGCATTAGCAGCTCTTCTCAGAGTGCTGGTAGAATCCGAGGAATGAGCTGAGCTCAGTAGACGTAAGGACTCTTTCTCAGCTTCATAAACAGTATCTCCTGCAGGATTTTTGAGATGGAGGTGACAACCTGGCACAGGATCCATTTGATAAACAGCTCTCACCTTCATCCTCTTCCCAGTATCTAAAACCAAAGTGTTCTCTGGTTGAAAGATTAGCACCTACACTCCCAGTCCCAGTGGGTTCTTTCCCTGAGTTTCTGGATTAATGGGTCCCCAAGTCATTGCCAGTATAGATGTGAGAGTTGGACTGTGAAAAAAGCTCAGCGCTGAAAAATTGATGCTTTTGAACTGTGGTGTTGGAGAAGACTCTTGAGAGTCCCTTGGACTGCAAGGAGATCCAACCAGTCCATCCTAAAGGAGATCAGTCCTGGGTGTTCATTGGAAGGACTGACGCTGAAGCTGAAACTCCAATATTTTGGCCACCTCATGCGAAGAGTTGACTCATTGGGGGCAGTAGAAGGGAACGACAGAGGATGAGATGGCTGGATGGCATCACCGACTCGACGGACATGAGTTTGAGTAAACTCCAGGAGTTGATGATGGACAGGGAGGCCTGGAGTGCTGCGATTCATGGAATCTCAGAGTCGGACACAACTGAGCGACTGAACTGAAGTCATTGCCATAAAACCTTCATTTCTTCAAGGGTGACTGAAGCATATAAATGGTCAAGTAGCACTGGAATCAGCGCCTGCTGCATATCTACTGTATGCCTTCCTGGAGCCACCCCTGGGTGTTTTAATGAGACAAAACCACCAGGCCAGCTTACTTGGTGGAGACATCTTGAGGAGCCCTGTTTTCTTTCTGGACTTATTTCATTCCTAAATCTTACTGTTGTTCTTCCCTACCCAGATTGATGCGAAGAAGGAACAGCTAGCAGATGCCCGGAGAGACCTGAAAAGTGCTAAGGCTGATGCTAAAGTCCTGAAGGATGCAAAGACCAAGAAGTATGTGCCTGGTGTGATGCAAAGCTGGGGTTGGGTGAGAGAGAAAAAGCGTCCCAGCGTCAACCAGAGGTCCTAGCTTTCCTACGGTTTCTGAGTGACGTCTTCTAGAAATGTCTGGGCCTGTGGCTTCTCTGCTTTTACTGCCCCTGGGTGGCAATGTGGGGATACGGTGCTCCCGTCCAGAGGCCAGGCCCAGTTCCTGATGACTTCCTTTCTTCTAGGGTTGTAGAGTCGAAGAAGAAGGCTGTCCAGAGATTGGAGGAGCAGCTCATGAAGCTTGAAGTTCAGGCCACAGACCGAGAGGAGAATAAACAGATTGCTTTGGGAACCTCTAAACTCAATTATTTGGACCCAAGGATCACTGTGGCTTGGTAAGCACCACGCCCTTCTTGAAGGCCACCTGCTGACTTGGGAAGGGTGATGGGGTTCCAAGAGCGTTGTCAGCTCTGACACGCAGTTCCTGCATTGCACACGTAAGAGCCCTGTCTTCTGCCGTGCACACTGCAAATGCATTGGGACATCCTGGATGGTCTGAAATGGTCAATACTGCTGTACCACTTTGGAGTGTTTATTTTGTCTGCTAAGGCAGGTATGGTCCCCACCCCTAGTGGAACTTTAGGACAAGGATGGAGACTCTTAGTCCTTATTGAAGGAAAAAATTAAAATGAGCCCATCTACCTACACTTTAACTTCTCAATAAAAAAAAAATTTTAATAAGTGAAGGAAAAAAGGTACAAATAAGGAGAAAAGAAAAACAAAAAATGAGAATACAGATCTGAGCAACCTATGCAAAGAGTTTGCACCATTGTTTACTTGTTTCCCTGTTAACCCCCCCCCCAATAAAATAACATCCAAAATAAATGACTTCTTTTGGAAGATGCTTATTAGTTAACTTGAACTATTAGTTTGTGGGCTTAAGAGGAGCAGCCATCCCCTGTGGGCCAGGGGTTCCAGCCAGCTCTTGTCCCCTTTCTTTTATGTCCTGTTTGGTGCTGGAGGTTTGGTTGGCTTGAGAGGCGATAGAGTATAATGATGAAGAGCATGGACTCTGAAGCCAACGTGCTTGGATTCACTTTTCAGCTCCATGATCACTAGCTGCATGAGAATGAAACCAAATCACCTAACTTCTCTTAGTTTTTCATCTGTACCTTTTTCATTTATACACCTGCAGTCATACCTACTTTAGAATGTCGGAGTTCAGTGAGTCAAGCACACAAAGCCCTAAGGACACGTCTGGTACCTTATTAATTCTCCTTCTCACCAGATGGAGCAGAAGGTGGCACATCCAGGCCCCAAACTGGGTCTGACCCATGTCTCCTGAGACACACTAACCCCCTTCTCTCTCCCTTATTTGCAGGTGCAAGAAGTGGGGGGTCCCCATTGAGAAAATTTACAACAAAACCCAGCGGGAGAAGTTTGCCTGGGCCATCGACATGGCTGACGAGGACTACGAGTTCTAGCCAGTCGTGAGGGGCAAGAGTTCTGTGGAAAGGAACAGTGTGGTTTGGGAAAGATGGATAAACTGTGAGCCTCGCTTGCCCTCACACCCGAGGGAGAGAGGCAGCAAGTCTTAACCAACATCTTTGAGAAGAGATATTATAAGGGAGAGCTGAGCCAGTTGTCCTATGGACAACTTATTTAAAAATATTTCAGATATCAAAATTCTAGCTGTATGATTTGTTTTGAATTTTGTTTTTATTTTCAAGGGGTCAAGTGGATGGGAATTTGTCAAGAGTTCTGCCAGGCAAATTCACTGTTTCACTGAAACATTTGGATTCTCTTAGCTACTGTATACGAAGTCCGATTATATTGGTGCGTTTTTACAGTTAGGGTTTTGCAATAACTTCTATATTTTAATAGAAATGAATTCCTAAACTCCCCTCTCCGCCATTTCAGGAATTTAAAATTAAGTAGAACAAAAACCCAACGCACCTGTTAGAGTTGTCACTATCTATTGTCATGGGAATCAATTTTCATTAAACTTGAAGCAGTCGTGACATCGGCAGTGTTTTGGTTCAGACACCTGTTCACAGAAAAGCATGATGGGAAAATATTTCCTGACTTGAGTGTTCCTTTTTAAATGTGAATTTTTATTTCTTTTTAATTATTTTAAAATATTTAAACCTTTTTCTTGATCTTAAAGATCGTGTAGATTGGGGCTGGGGAGGGATGAGGGGTGAGCGAGTCTAAGGATAATAAATAATCAGTGACTGAAACCATTTTCCCATCATCCTTTGTTCTGAGCATTCTCTATGCCCTTTCAGATACCCGTCTTTTTCATTTAAAACCCCAGTCTTTCACTTGAAAGATTTTATTGTATAAAAGTTCCACAGGTAAAAAATTTAGAGGAAAATGAGTATTTGGTCCAAAAAAAAAAAGGAAAAATAATCAAGATTTTAGGGCTTTTATTTTTTCTTTTGTAATTGTGTAAAAAATGGAGAAAAAAAACACATAAAAAGCAGAATTTTAATGTGAAGACATTTTTTGCTATAATCATTAGTTTTAGAGGCATTGTTAGTTTAGCGTGTGTGCAGAGTCCATTTCCCACATCTTTCCTCAAGTATCTTCTATTTTTATCATGAATTCCCTTTTAATCAACTGTAGGTTATTTAAAATAAATTCCTACAACTTAACGGAACCTTGGTGTCTGCCTCTCTGTTAGCCCAGGGCCCCGGGCCAGAGTAGGGCTCCAGGGCCGGGCCTTGGTGTGGGATGTGGTCTGCCTGCTCCTGGCTGCAAGGCTGCCTCCCGCCCCAGGAGCTGGGGCTGCATCTGTCTTGCCACTGTGGGTGTGGGCTGAAGGGGAGGGAGCCAAAGTCCACATCCTTAGAAGGCAGGCCCAGGAAGTGAGGGCGGGTACAGAAAAGCTACAACAGGTTGGGTGCAAGAACTATATTTGGAGCCTAGGGTAGGTTTATTGAGCAAAGTGGAACAAGTGTATTCGGGAAGCTGATTTTAGAACACTTCTGTGTGTGCTGGTGAGAAGCAGTGGGGAGCTTCTTTGGGCCTACTTACGTGGCTAAGTTACTGTCAGGATGGCGGGAATTAAGGATACTAAGCCAGTTAAAACACGGAATCCCAGAAGCTCTCTCCAGACAGAGAGATCCTTCTGACAGAGAGGGAGCAGTCTAGAACCACTTCTCAGTGCTCTAGTACCCGAGTCAGTCAGGATCCCTACAAAAATTGTTCCTCCATTTATCCTAGGTTATAGCTAAGTCTGCGATGAAGTTGAAAGATTAAGTCTCCTGGTCAAAAGGAACAGCTAACAGGAAGGCCAGAGTGGTCAGAACCGATCATTTAGCTAGCCCTAAGTCCTCTAGCCTGCCAGCTAAGGGTATATTCTGGGAGGATAGCCATCTCCCTGATGGTCTCTGAACTTGCAGGCTGGGGCTGGGCCAACTGCAGAGAATCCTGAAGGGTCCTTGGCAGCCTTTTATTTCATCAGCCAGTGAGGGAGGCAGCATTCACCCCAGGGAATAAAGGAGGGTACGGAGCCACTATTGCTTTGGAGCAAGAGACCGAAGCCAAGTATTTTGAGTTCAGTGGTTCTGGGGAAGCTATACCATGGGACGTAAGGAACAGCAACAGAGAGGCTTGTCCATGAGCCCTATCAATGCACTTGAGCAGCACCTGTCACAGCCAGGGGACAGCCTTGGGCCACCAGTGAGAACAGGATAGGAGGCCCTGCGGGCACATTTAACTGATGAGCAGAAACCTGTGCCTACCTTTTCTGGCAAGGACCGTTCTTCTGAGGGCAGGTGCAGAGCAACTAGATGCTGGTCAAGAACAGCTGTGAAGGACTTCTGGGCAGCCGCAGCAGGCCTGGGAGAGCAAGCCAGAGAATGCGGGAAGCTGACCTGACCACTGCGACGAGGGAAGAGGCTAGACAGAGGTGAGGGCCAGGCATGCAGACGGCTTCCTAGTCATCTGGCAGGTAGGTTCCCTCCTCCCACTTCCAGCCCTTAGGTCGGATGTGCAGGCTCTGCCCCACCCTCTCCTGTTAGGCCCTTGCGTGAGGCTGGGGTCCAGTTGTGGGCAGAGGGAGACCGCTTCCATGTGCCGCCCCAGCCAGAAAGCTGGTGCTTGCTTGGCCCCTTCCTCCCTCACCGCCACCCCCCACATCCTGTCAGCAGGTCCTGTCTCTTCTCCCTGTCAAGTCTACCTCAGGCCTCTGTGACATTTTTTTTTTTTTAATGAAGAAAAAAAATAAAAACCCACAACTCCCAGCCCTTTTCAGCCACCACCCCCTCCCTCTCTCTATTTCACAAACAAGCACCTGGAATGAGTCACCCCTACCACCCGGTCACTCCCCCACCCACTGCTACTAGCTTCTGCCCCATCCTGCTTCCAGTACCCCCTTCCACTCTGACCACAGTCACCCAGGAATGAGCGACCAAACCACTAACCAGGCTCTGCTTCCTCATCTCAAACTTGCAGTGGCACCAGACACTTCAAAAATCACTAGTGATACTTCACGTGTCATAAAATCCACCCATTTCCAGTATACGGTGACTTCTAGTAACCACTGAGTGGTACAGCCATCAGCGTGCATCAGTTTTAGCACTTCATCCCCTCGGTAAGATGCCTCATGCCAGGGACAGTTAATCCCCATTCCAACCTCCAGCCCCCATGAATCTACCCTCTCTATAGGTTTGTCTTTCCTGGACATCACACATCAATGGCATCATTCCCTTAAAGCACCCCTCGCTGGTCTCCACGGTGCCACCCTCTCCTGATTTTATCCCTCCATCTCAGGCTGTGGCTTCTGTTACCGCCTCGATCAGGTCCTTAGCGGCTGCGGTTCCCTTCTCAGCATGGCTGATTTCATTCACGCTTGAACGTGACGAGCCCCACATCCCTACCTCTAGCCTAGACCCCTCTCCTGAGATCCAGACACACACTGGCAGCTACACCTTGGCAGGGATGTCCACGGGCTCGAGAACTGTGTTTGGGACCTACCACGACCAGCCCACTGGCCTTGGTTTCGCATCTCAGGGAAAGGCACCACCATCTACTCTGTCTCCCAGCTGGAACCGAGGGCAGACATCATCCTTCACACCTTTCTCTCATATCCAGTAAATCACCAATTCTGATAACACCTTCTAAATACCACATACATCGAATCAGGTATTTCCTCCATAGAACACTGAAGAAAAAAAAATTTTTTTTTTTTTCTGAGGAGTTTTACTTACATTTCAGTCTTTACAAAATCCCCCATAAAATGGGTTGTTCTCTCAACTTGTTTTGAACCAAAAAACACTTTTTGGAGAAAACGCATTATCCTGAAATGACCTCAGTCAAGCTAGTTTTGGATGATTGTAAGTAGTCCCCTGACAAAACCAGTAAACAAGGAAGCAAAGAAATTTACCACAGGCTGGGCAATTATTTCTCACAATCCCAAGCACTGCATTTGAACAGGTTTCTTCAAGATGACTTTAAATAGCAATACGGTGTTGATTTTTTTCAGGTTTGAAAATGGCACTGCAGTTATGTATATATGTTTTTAAAGAGTCTTTTAGAAAAACACTGAAATATTTATAGATAACATTATAGAGCTAAAATTAGTGTCGAAATTATATGGAATGGGTTAGTGTATCGAGTTTGACATGAAACAAGAGTGGCCAAGAGTTCATAATTAAACTGGCTGATGGGTACATCAGCTATCCTGTCTCCATTTATATACATTTTAAAGTTTCTGTAATATTTTTAAAGCAACACAGTGTAAGTGGGGATTATGTCAATCATTGATATGTATCTACAGAAGAAATGAAAAAAAAAGCTATTTAATGTTAAACAGAAAAGTAATCATGCTTAGGTTAAAACTTCCAGTTGACAGTATCACATACTGATTCAAAAAGTATTTTCTCTGCAGCAACATGGATCAATCTCAAAAACATTATACTGAACACAGACCCAAGGGTACACACTCTGTGATTCTACTTATATGAAATTTTAGACCAGGCAAAACTAACCTGTAGTGACAGAAAGTAGACTTTGTGGTTGCCCGCTGGGGGCAGGGGAGATTGACTTTTTTTTTTTAAAATATGGAACGCTTCACGAATTTGCATGTCATCTTTGTGTGGGGGCCATGCTAATCTCTGTATTGCTCCAATTTTACTGTTTGTGTTGCCAAGCTGAGCATGAGACGGACTCTTAAAAGGCACCCAGAACACTGCTTGGGGTGATGGAAATGTCCTATGTCTTAACTGGGTGGAGGTTACAGGAGGGTATACATTTGTCCAAGATTTCCAAACTTTACACTTAAAATGGGTGAGTTTTCTGTAGGGTATTCCTCAATAAAGCTGATTTTTCATAAGTGCTCTTTCCCAATTGAGAAAGATGATGCACTTTCAGAACTTACATTAGATGGCTCAAAAAGTGGGCTCTTATGGTGACAACTATATAGAAGTTAAAAATTCATGTAAAGAGTTTGTAACAGCAAATTCCCTGGTGATCCAGTGGTTGAGAGTCCGCCAGCCCACGCAGGGGACATGGGTTCAATCCCTGGTCTGGGAAGATTCCACATGCTACAGGGCCACAACCACTGAGCCCACACGCCCTAGAGCCTGTGCTCCACAGTCAGAGAAGCCACAGCGATGAGAAGCCCTCGCACCGCAACTAGAGTGTAGCTCCCGCTCACCGCCAGGGAGAGGAAGCCCGCAGGCAGATGTGAAGGCCCGGTGTAGCCATAACTAACTAACTTCAAAAAAGTTTGAACATAATTACTGAAAAGGCTAGTGTGGGAAAAAAATCAATACTCATAAATTAATATTATTTAAAATAATATGCGACTTTAAATACGTGTAAACTATGTAACTAAATAAACTGCCATATGTGGACATCTGAACCATGCATCCCTAAAAATATTTACGCTGTCATGAGAGGCCCTCATACCACAACAAAGAGTAGTCCCCATTCTCCGCAACAAGAGAAAGCCTGATGCAGCAAAGAACGACCCAGTGCAGCTAAAAACAATAAATATAACATAATTTTAAGTTTTCTGCTGTAGTTGCAAAAATGGCCACAAAACACCTGTGGTGACCTTAATTTGAAAACAAGTGATTGACCGTCTTGTATCTGGAGCAGAATACCTCACTTCACTCTGTGCCCACAGCCACGGGCAGGTCTAATAAGGTCAGCTGCCCCTCCCCAGTGCTCCAGGGGCCCTTACCACACTGAAATGTCTTCTGCTGACAAACGTCTGCTTGCATTTCTCTCTCCCCTCCTGGAGTGGGAACTTGGTCCGATTCCTTCTGCTGTCTCACTGCTACAGGGGTGGCATCAGGAACGTGTGCTGGAAGAAGGGCAGAAAAGGTAGAAAAATAGTGGGTCTGACCTGGCCTGGGCCACAGCAGCTAGCAAGGGTGCTCCCCTTCTCTGCCTGTAGAGAGGCACAGTGTCCCTGGAGTCCAGCTCTCCTGCCTCAACATCTGGGTCCCACAAGAGGGGCGATCAGTAGAGGAGAAGCAGGGTCTGCAGAGAGCAGAGTCCTAGCCTGGTTTCCCCTCGAGTGACAGAAAACACGAGGCTCTCGAGGGGCTGCGAGTACATCGCGGGTGTGCAGGAGGATGAGACCTAAGAAGTATGAGGCCCGATGACTAAGGTGGAGCCATGGATGGATACTGGGGACCAAAGCTTAACAGCCAAGACGACAGGTTGAGGGATGGAGTTCAAGGTGCACCAAGGCGAGTGCTTACTAAGCACCAGGTGCAGGCTGGCTGACTCAAACCCATGAGAAGGGCTGGTCAGCCACCTAACATAAAATACTACTAAGTAAAAATTAAAGAAAAGTTTAAAGAAGAGGAATAAAGTTTCATATGTGGATTAAATTGGATGCTGCAAGTATATAAATCTGCCTACCTTCAACTGTGATAGGAGCTGCCTGCGCTTTACTTTTTATACCTTCTATAGTCACTCAAGGTCATTACAGGGAAGAATGAAAACTGGGTCGGGATTTGCTGTTAATCTGCGGAGAACATTCTCTACTATTTCAATCAAGTAAGTGTCCCCTTGAGAAACTTCCCTTATCATTTAACCTTAGGAAAATCTTTCTCCCCCAAGGAATCAGTTATCAGAATACAAAGTTTCTGCTTTGGATACCAGGAAGCTCAATTTGATTTTCAATCACATTTGATTTTCAATCACCGCAGCTGTGCTAACCCATATTCACCGAATTACATTCCTCCTTTAGATAAGAGCATATCCCATTTTTATGGTACCATATTTTTGATTTCTTAGGAAATGCTCAGAGTACTTAAGACTGAGAAAGAAGACACCTGTGGCGGGCAGAGGGATGTGCCACTCAGATTCCCCTTTGAGGGAGCACTTGTTGCTAGGAGACTATCAGCCCCCTAAGACCACCGTGGTTGCAGACATCTGAGGCTGTGCTTGGCCCAGGACAGGCCACGTTCAGTGCCTGGTGGAGGGACTGCAGCAGAGCTCCCTGGGTGCAGGCTGAGGCTGCCACCAGACCTGCATCATAGCTCAACTTCTCCCAGTGCCCCCTCCCATTTTCTTCCCTCCCTTCCACAGTGCTGATCCCAAGGACGTGTCCTGAAAAAACACCTTGCACACTAACCTCTGTCACAGAGGCTTCCCAAAGAACCCAACCTGGAACAAGATGTAACCAAACAACTAAAAATAGAAAACACATCAGGTATGGGTATTACAGGGAAAGAAAATAGTGAAATATTCATACCTAGGTGGAAGGCAATGTGATGTGGACTCTGGATGGGACTGAATCCCATTTCTGCCGCCTCTTAGCTTAAACGTCTCTGGGCCTCAGTTTTTCCTTCTGTAAAATGAGGATAATAGAGTACTTATCTCAGACTTCCGCGGTGGTCTAGTGGTTAAGAACCCGCCTGCCAATGCAGGGAACGCGGGTTCACTCCCCGGTCCAGGAAGATTCCCCATGCCACGGGGCAACTAGGCCTGTGCACTGCACCTACTGAGCATGAGCCCTAGAGCCCCGTGAGGACAATGAGAGAAGCCACCGCGATGAGAAGCCTGCGCACCGCAGCTAGAGAGTAGCTCCTGCTCTCTGCAAGTAGAGAAAGTTCACATGCAACAGTGAAGACCCAGCCCAGCCATAAATAAATAAGTTGTTCAAAAAAATAAATAAAAGTACTTATCTCAAGGCTGTCATGAAAAGTAAATGAGTCACTGGGGGTAAAGCAGTTCTACGGGGCTTACTATATGTCAAGTGATGCTCTAAGTGTTTGGTAAGTAAACACCCATGGGTCAGGCCCACAGAGCCAGAGGGGCAGCCGGGCTGGGTGGGACTCCACCTCCTCCCACTCCAGGCACAGGTACTGGTGTCGCCGGAGCATGCTGAAGCATGAGTGTTGACAGAAATAGGCTCGAGCGAGGCGAGCCTGGGTGATGTCATGGGCGTGTGCCTGGTGTGGGTGCTGGGCTGCGCCTCCCAGCCAGCGCAGCTGCAGGCACTGCCAGTAACACCCACGTCCCCATATATATATGCTGCGCTGGGGGAAGCCCATACTGGTCACACCCTCGGCTCACCCTGCTTTTCCTGAGTCCCCTTGGGTGGAGGCAGGCACCTGAGGCCTGGGATGCTGGCTCAGAAGTCCCAGGAGGAAATGGGGCCCTGTTTCCTGATTGAGGGCCTGGCAGCAGGCTGAAAACATGAGCTCCTGTTGGCGGGGATTGCTTGGAGCCCCTGGAGACCCAGCCCCAGAGGCAAAAAGCAGAAGCCAGGAAGCCCGGGCTATATGTCGGGAAGCTCTCAGAAAATGGAGAAATGGAGATTTCTAAAAAGCATCACTGCCCACCAAGTATGAGGGCAACAGCACTTAGGAGGCCTCCTGGGAAAATGGATAAGATCAGATGAGCAGAGAGGGGCCCAGCCAGCCCCCCACCTGTCTTCCTGGCCTCACCAACACCCCCACTCCCCCCTACTCCGTGCTCCCTCTCAGTAAATTCTAGCCTTCTTCCCATTCCTAGACTTAACTAAGCTCTTTCTGGCCTCAGGGCCTTTGTATATGCTGTCACCTTGTCTAGAAAGGACTTTCCTCCAACCCACCTCTAATAATACAGCCAGCCATCTCCTCACATCCTTCCAGCCTCTGCTGAGTCCCGCAGAAAAGGAAGAGGTCTTCCTTGTCTACTCAATCTGAAGTAGGTCTCCCTAATGTTTTAGCTCACAGCTCTCTGTTTTCTTCCTCCATCACAACTGTCCCTACACAACAGAGTGCTCACCTGTCTTAAATCTGTGAATTCCTGGGGGCCTAGTGCCGAGTTTCTCTTGTTCTCCCGACTCCTGGCACCGGCACTGAGCACAGGGAAGCTCCAGTCTGCAGACAGGGACGAGCAGGACATCAAGCCCCAGCAAGCCCAAGCCACACACTGTGAGCGCTCAACTTCTGCACTCACGCCTCCTGTGGCCAGGGCCAGCCATGCCAAGGGCCTCCCCTCACCCTTGCTGAGTAGCCAGCCCATGTGCCCACTGTCCACTGGCACCTACGGAAGCCAGGGGCTCTCCTGCGAGGAAAAAGATGCATGGTGTCAGATTTAGGAATTCAAATCCTCACTGGTTAATTATGTGGCCTTGGGGCGAGCCACGGAACTTCTCTGAATCTGCTTCTCATCAGTAAAGTGGGAACAATAATCCCTGATTAGAGTAATTATAAGGATCAGGTGTGAGTACATGTTGCAAACCTTGTAATGCTGGGCCGGGCACTGGGTCAACTTTCATTCCCTCCCTCCTACTTTAAAAGTCTGTCACTAGGTGGCAGTCCATCTCAGCCACTCCACCTCCCCTTGGGTGACCACAGCCAATTAGCACAAATGGCTGCCTCAACTTCAGGCTGAATTCTCAGCTCCTTGGGGGCTGCACTTGAGGGGATCAACACATATACACATGCTACCACTACAGAAAGACAAGTCAAAGGCAGTCCCCAGACATTAGTCATCACCCAGCTGGGTGGCCTGCCTGAGCACATACTCTTATATGCGTACTCACACATTCCTGGATGCCTGGGTCTTTTCCTAATTTTTTTTTCCTTTATCATTTTTTGAGGGTCGCAAAGAATTGGACACAACTTAGTGATTAAACAACAGCAGCACATGGCATGTGGGATCTCAGTTCCCTGAACCAGGGATCAAATCTGTGCCTCCTGCATTGGAAGCATGGCATCTTAACCACTGAACCAGCAGGGAAGTCCTTGGATTTTTCTCTAGCATCAGCTGGGTGCCCTGCTGGGCCTCTTACCTCTGAAATGCAGTACGTGGTCCTGCTTTGTCTGGCTCAACATCAGACAGGCTCTCCTGTAACTGAAGTTGTCTTTAGTTTGGGTGGTGTTCTGTGACGGGGCAATTAGACTGCCCGGGGTGCATCTAGGGAGTGGCTGCACAACACAAAGAGTACAAATTAATCGAATAACCACCAAAAGACCTTGTGCCCGGAGAATGGAATGAAAGGAAGGTGGTGAGAGATGAAGTGGGAAAGAAAGGGGCCAGACCATGCCGGACCTGCTGGGCCAGGTAGGGGATTTTGTGTGCCATGGGAATTCTGGATGATTTGAGCCTGGAGGTAGGGAGTGAAGATTTAATTTCATTTTGAAGACCAGAGCATAGGGGCTTCTCTAGTGGTCCAATGACTAAGACTGCACTCCCAACACAGGGGGCCTGGGTCGATCCCTGGTTAGGGAACTAGATCCCGCAACCCCCAACTAAAAGATTCTGCATGCTGCAACTAGGACCCGGTACAGCCAAATTAAAAAAAAAAAAAAAAAAATACTAGAGCATAGGGGATACACGCAGGCAAAACCAAGGAAGGTAAACAGTCTGGAAGAGAGAAGATGAGCCTTGAGGTTGTGGGCAAAGCGGAGACATGGAAAGGCAGAGGGAATGGGACTTGATGGAGTGCTGCGGGGTTGAGGGAGAGAGAGGAACCAAGGCTGTCTCCAACGGTTTTAGCCCCGAGCACCTTACCAGAGGCATGTTCTGAGAAACTGAAGACCATGAGAGAAGCAATTTGAGGAGAGATGTGAGATGTTTGTGGTACGTGGAACAGGTAACGGGATGCAGGGTGGGATACAGTTTCGGCGCTCGGGTGCTTGAATTTGGCGGGGGGCAGTGACGCCGAGGGAAGGGTCAGGCCGCCTTGGGAACTGACTCAGGACCTACCCAGGAGGAAAAGAAGCTGCTGAGGTGTCAAAAGGCAGCGGCCAGAGACGGAGGAGGAAAACAAGGACAGAGTTGGCCCGGGAAAACCAAAGCTTGGGAGAGCATCTGCAGCAATGGTGCGGAGCCACAGGGCCTGAGCCGGCGTCCTAGTCGCGTGGAGACTCGCGGCGTGGGGGTGCGGAGGGTACGGCCAGGCCAAGACCACTGCAGGGCTCGCAGGGGATGCTCAGGCCTGTGGGCTACTCCGAATAACGGGAACCCCCCGCCCGCCCCCCTCAACACACACACCCGCGAGGCCACTTCGGCCGCAGGGCCGGGAAGATCGTGGGTCCGACGGTCGCAGGCGCTGCCGGCGGGGCCGCCCCCGGCTGCCGGGGGAAGGGAGGGGGGAGAGGCGGGACTGGCAGGCTGTCCGTCAGAGCCTGCCGACCAATCACCGGGTGGCCCCGCCTCCGCCCCGCCCCGGAGAGGGCGCGCGGAGGACCCGCCTCCTCCTCCGCCGCCGCCGCCGCCGCCGCCGCCGCCGGTGTGAGGCGGCCCGGCCTGGCCTGGTTCCCTCCGCTGGGCAGCCCTCCCAGGTACCGGGTTTGGCCGGCGGGCCCCGGAGGGCGCCTCGGGCCTGCACTTCTCCTCCCGGTGGCCGCGCGGGCGGCGCCCCGCGAGCGGACTTCGGAAGGGGTCGCCGCGGCAGGGCCTGTGCGGGACGGTGGGCTGGGCAGCCGGCCATGGCGGGCGCCGCGTCCCCCTGCGCCAACGGCTGCGGGCCCGGCGCGCCCTCGGACGCCGAGGTGCTGCACCTCTGCCGCAGCCTCGAGGTGGGCACCGTCATGACTTTGTTCTACTCCAAGAAGTCGCAGCGGCCCGAGCGGAAGACCTTCCAGGTCAAGCTGGAGACGCGGCAGATCACGTGGAGCAGAGGCGCCGACAAGATCGAAGGGGCCAGTAAGTGCGCCCCCTCCCCACACCCCCGGCTTCCCGGGCCCGCCGCGCGCGCGCGCTGGGGCGGCGCGGGGTCTGCGCCCCGGCTCGCGCGCGCCCGAGGGCCGCCGCTGGAGAGACTCCGGCAAACTTTCGGGCCCCGCCCCCGCCTCGGCCCGGGTGGTCACCGGGGGCGGGGGGCATCCGGGTCCTCAGTCACCTGACAGGACACCCCCCCACCCCCAGCAAGGGGGGAGTGTTCCAGGCGCTTTGCCCAGAGGCCTAAAAATCCTAGCGAGTTGGAGACCAGCGGGGCCGACGTCGGGTCCCCCCACACCCCGGGAGCGATGTCGGCCGAGGCAGCGTCCTCCCCCCGCCATCCCCGGAACCGGAGGCCAGACCAGATGCACCGTTTTTCCAAAAAGAGCAATCTGGTGCACTTCTGGGCCTCTCGGCCGGGCTCCTACTTACAAAGGAACCTTTGGGTTCCCCAAGTAGAACTTAGGCAGATGTTGGCGTAGGGCTGGTTTTGGAGCGGAGCCGGGCCTACTCATCTCTCTCTTGGGGCCAGGAAGGAAGGTGGTCTTGTTTGGTTTGGAAAAGCCCGAGGGGAGGCAGTGGATGTTTTTCCCGCCGCTTCTTTTGTCCTGAAGCTGAATTTTGGAGGTCTGTGTGCGTGGGCAGACTCCCAAAGCCAGGGCAAGGAAAGGGGCCAGGCTTCCCCTTGTCCTTTGGAAGCACATTCTCCAGAGCTTGGCCCCAGAAAGGCCAGCCTCACTGCTTCGTGTCAGGTACTCTTCAAGAGGACACAGCCAAATTGGGGTCCAGCCCTTTGTGTCCTGCGTCCTGTGGCTGGAGGGAGCCAGGAGCGGCTACTATTTCCTGCCTCTTTGCCGTCCCAGACCTGACCTTGGCTGCTTCTGTGAAAGAGAGAGTTGGGGGATTTTGAAAAACCCCAGATCCTTCAGAGAGTGATGCCACTGAGCGCGTGCCTATGCTGTGGCCGGATGGGCCCCGCAGCTCTGCCCTTCATTCTCCCGCCTCCAAGTGTGAGATGATGTGTCTGCAACCCCAGGCTGTGGGTTGCTTCCTGCAAGAACCCCCCACAACCCCCCACTTCCACCCCCTATCCCCCTGAGACTGGAGTTAGAGGAGGCTCAGAATTAGGACTGTGAAGAGGAAGAGGGTTCAGGAAGTGACACCCCCTAAGAGAAGGTCTTCCAGACCTTGGGTATGGCGTACCTGTGTGTAGATGACTGAGGAGACGGGGAGGAAGGAAGGTCTTGTGGTGAGACAGCCATCTTCAGCCGCACACTCCCGATCTCACATAGCTGCTGAACTTCCACACGACAGCAGCCTTCCTCCATGGCCCCCCTCGGGCCCTGGTAGCCAGCGGGAGAAAATGTGAGATGATTTGAGAGCCTGGATTCCAGAGTGGAGGAAGGACAGACCTTGCAGAGGGCGGGAGGGACATCACCCCGGCATCAGACTCAGGCACGGCCCCTTCCGTGTGTCTGTGGGTTCCCCAGGCTCTCCTGAACTGGTAGCGGCTGGCTGAGGTTCCCAGGTAGACTTCTGGCTAAGAGGCTGCGTTTCACACCGTGCACAGGACCAGCAGGCAGTTGAAGTGCAGCCCAGCGGTTGAAGGCAAGGTTGGGCTTGAAGCCCGTTGTCTTGGTTGTGTATCCCACCCAGCCAGCTACTTCTCTGAGCCTTAATGTCACCATCTGTGAAGTGGGAGTAATAATATCTCCACCAAATGGGGTTATTCTAGGTGGGTAAAGGAGAGGATTAATGTAAAACAATATACGTGGGCTTCAAATCAAACCTTGCCTTCAACCGCTGTGCTGCCAGACACATTCTCAATGTTTAATAAACGTAAGCTGTTATTCACGACTACAGTAGTAGACTATGACTGCCCCCCTTGGACTGGGACTGTATGGCTGCACAAAAGGGTGAGGGCGCAGGAAGGGAGGAGCATGGGGACCCAGCTCACATTTCACTGAGATCACTACCCGGAAAAGGGAGGAAATGGTTTTGCTTTGCCCCGACCCAAATACTAGTCACCCCCCTATCACGTAGAGCAGGGTATGTATGGAGTTGTCTTGAGGAGACTTGCACATTTGTCTCCTGGGTGGGTAACTGTCTTGTCTGTAAGTTGGGGCCTGTACAGAAGGAAGGGGTATGGAGAGGCAAGGGGCTAGTCCACCAGGTCTCAGGTCTTGGGGGCTGGAGGCAGGAATGCCAAGGACCTGATAACCCCAGCCCCTGTGGGTCGGTCCATCAGAGGGGTGCAAATTCAGTGACCTCATCAGTGAGCTGGGATTTGAGAGGCCTGGAGCCTGGGCAGAGGAGGTAGAAGGGGCCCTGGCCCATTGATAAGTTGCAGCCCGAGACTGAAGGAATCTGGGTGAGAAGCCTGATGGACACTGGTGTGCAGTTCAGGCCTTGCTGCCAGAGCCTTCCGCTGAAGCTGCCCCAGAGCTGCTTGTTTGTGGGTGCACCTCATTGCTGGGTTCTGATCCCTGCCGCCACCTCTGTAGGTTGAGGAAGTTTGGAGTGCCAGCAGGGCCCCTTGCCACCTGGCCTCTTGCCCAGGTGCCTCAGATGCCTGGCCTTTTCCTGCTGACCCTGCCAGGGTACCATGCAGTGTCTGTAACCTGGCCAGAGAGAGAGACACTTGTGGGACTCAGGTTATCCGTGGGCCTGCAGGGAGACGGGGTTCGGTGTAAGTGCGCGGTGCTCACAGAGAGGACCTCATTCTGGCCTGAGTCCGTGCCCGCCCGCTCCATCCTCCACTTGTGAAATGCGGCCGGCAGGTGCTCACCTCGCGGGTGGGAGCTTGTCTTCGAAGGGGTGGGGTTGGTGCTGGTTGTCACGGTGGTGTGACAGGAACCCGGTCGGTGTTTGGCTTTTTGTACTACAGATACTTACATAAATGAGTACAAAGCAATTACAGACTTCCTGCTGAGTGCTACAGAGACTTGTCATCATGTTTTCTTGGCAGATCCGTTAAAGGGCCCCAGGGGGTGGTCTGGAGTGCCACCCCACTTTATAGATGGGGAAATGGAAATGCAGGGAGTGAACTGTGCTGCCCCGTGACAGCCTCAGTGGGACCCAGCCCTCCCGGCAGGTGCTGGCCGGCCAATCCCAAGGGCACTCTCTGCCCTGGCGTTGTGCTCTGAGTGGCCTCAGGCCCCCAATCCTGGGGTCAGCATCGCTCCTCTGAAGAGAAACCTTCCTGTTCAGACTGTACCTGACGGACAGCCCTGGCCTTTCTCAGCTGTGGCTCCACACTTGTGGGTTGACATGTTCAGTCAGGGGTCGCTGTGGGCACAGTGGCTCGGGTGGGGAATTGCAGCCACGGGTTTTCGTCTTTGTCTTTGCAATCGATACCCTTTTAGACACCAGACTTCCTTAGGTGGTGAATCAAAATAGGCCCTTGCCTTCAGGGAAACTGACGAGGACAATGGTGGTGACAGTTGCTGCTCCCTTTGAGGCCGGGGGCGGGAGGGAGGGTGGCAGAAGAAGGCAAATACCCCAGACAAGGCAGGCAGGCTCGTGGGAGATGTGACATAGGGACCCGCAGTCTGAGGCCCGACCCCTGTGGCTGTCAGACCGCGGAGGAGACAGACCCCAGGGCCAGCTCTGAAGGCTGCGCCCGGGGAGGGCGGGCCTGTGGCTTCGGGGATTTTCCTTGTGCTGCCGGGTTGGTCCCCGTGGGAGAGGGGTGAGAGCACGTGTCCGGATCTCCACAGCTCACCATCCTCGCCTGTGTGTTTCCTGTCTGACTATAGTTTTTCCAGGGGAAGTCAGAACTCTCAGTGTTTCCTCAGCCCCCCCGGCTTGCCCTGATGTGTGGGTTTCCAGGCCGGCCCGGCCAGGCCCCTGTGCATCTGGGGCTTTGTCTTTCCTGGGAACCTAGGGACGGGGTTTGCTGTGCCTGGGAGAGCTGAGCACACCACGCCAGGGACCCCCAGCACCTCCAGCTTCTCCCCTGTGTGTGTGCCGGGGCCCGCACATACGTGCACAAGTGCACAGGCTGGAGTCATCAGTTAGAGATCTTGGCCGCTGGCTTGTTTTGGGTTGCCCCTTGGAATGAGGGGCATTTGCTTGCTCAACAGATACTATGTGAACACCTCCTGTTTGCCCAATGCTAGGCACTGAGAGTTCAAAAGATGAACAAGACCTGGACTGTGCCGTTGAGGAACAACTCTTGGAAGAGGCAGGTTTGGAGATGTGTAATTATAACCCCATGTGTTCCGCACCGTAATAAAGGTCCAGGCCCAGAGCTTCCTGTGTGCAGAGG